CTCTTTAAAGCCCCCAGACTCTTCAAACTTTGAAATTCATAAATCTACATTCAATAATTCTTAATTTCATTAATAAGTATAAAAAACAGGAATCAATATGACTTTTGAGCCAGAGAACAAAGTTCCAAAACTGTTTGTACTACTATCTAGATGTAGATGCGATAATGGCTCAGTTTCCTCACCTGCAAATTAGACTTGAAGGGATTATAGTATTGCACATCTATGATATATAGTGAAAATGGATATTATTCTTAAATTTTCCTTTGAAGAAATAACATTTCCACCTCTGTTTTGATAAAACCAGGAATGATTTGAATATTATTTACAGTAATGATTACAATATAGTTGCAGCACTGGTTAGACTGTTCCCAAAACCTAGTGATGCACTTACTTCCCATATATCTTATTTTTAATAAAGGTGCTATTAATTTCCTGAGATTTTACATGTTAGAGTTGTATTATGTAATTTGGGAGAGGATTTTAATCAGATTTTTGAAAATATGATATTTTTATTGTGCTATTTAACTGAAAGAATTATGATTTACATACACTAAACTGTAGCTCTTTTAAGCATATAATTCCAGGAGTTTTGACAATGGATTCAACTCCCTACATAGCCTCAATCAACACAGTATTTTCAATACCCATCAAGCTCCCTGGTCCTCATTTCTTATCAATCCCCCATTAGCTCCTGGAATCATACAATATACACTGTTTTGTGTCTGTCTTTTTTTGTTCCACACAATGTTGGATGTCACCCACATTGTTGCATGTAGAAATGGTTTGTTGTTTTTTGCTGCTGCTTTTACTTGTTTAGATGGTTGGGATGGAAGTAGAGGAAGCTGAAGGAATAAGATGGGCAATTCCTCCTGATACTGCCTAAGAATCTTCAAGCAATTACTGTGTATGACCACAGTATGAAAAGGAAAATTGTTATAGAAATATCAATTCAAGTTGACTCACTCATTAACGACAATAAAAATTAAGCCCCATCTCTAGGCACAAACGAACATCTAAAAAATATATATTCTTGCAGTTGTTGTTATTTCCAATTTTCTTTGCTATTTGACCTCCTAGTTATTGAGAGAAAATGAGTCTCATTAATCATGACTCATTAATCCTTGTCAAGTATGAGGTAATTTTTCCATCTTATTTGTTGACAAGTTTTTACTAGTATACAATAAAGCTATTGTATTTTATTATACTTATCTATGTATCAACCATTTTACAGAGTTCTAGCTGACCTTTGACAAAAGGTCCTCTGTCAGGCTATAGTGCAGTCTATAAGTGATGATAATCAAATCTCTTCTGTCCTAAATGAAATTTAGGATATTTTTACCAAAATTAAAATTGAATTTTATCTTTGCATGCTACCACAAAATAAATTTATTGAGTAACTTTTATGTCCTAGATCAGTTTACATGCAGATGTCCTGGTTAAGGTTAAAAATAACTTTCCAGTTTTGTTTCTTTAGAAAAAAATCCCTTTCTTTGAGATTTCAATATTAGAAATATTCAAATAGTGTAGCTAAAGTGTCCAGAGAACCTGACTTCCACTAGTCCTGACATTGTAGGAAAATCTCTCAGACTGGAAACTGATTGACAATAATCTGTGACGTCTAGTATGCGTGAGTATGTTTGTACCATTGTGTACTTATACTGTAGCAATCATTTTTTTATTATGCTTTATATTGAAGTATCATCTTTTCCATCCTTGCTAGTGTTTGACAGTATAGTCACTGTAACCCCCCATATTCTCCCATCAGGGTGCACTGTGCTTTCCCTCCACCCCCACCCCCATGGTGTAGTTATTTTAACATGAGGTTGAAATGAGGTATGTGGGGATTCCTGATGGTATTTCTAATTCCCTTGGAACTTGAAAGTTCTTTTTCCCAGTAGCATTAAATATGTTTTAGAAATAAAACCAGATAGCGGTTCATCTCACAGGAAAATATGCTGTCTCTCAAAAAGTCTTACATAATTTACAATAAAAGGATCCTTTCAAAACTCCTTTTACAAAAACAGACAATGTCCCATGATGATGTTTTCAAAATACAGAATTTAGGCTCTGCCACGTAGTTGGCTTAACATGCTCTAATTCATCAAGTTTTGTTATCCATAAAATATTTCAGGGAATACTGCCTGGCAGTGAAGGAGCTTTTCTGTGCAAAAGAATGGCTGTCAATGGAAGAAAAGCCCCACAGAGGACTCTACAGATCTGGGATACATCTGCTCTCTCTGCCAGAATGCAGCAAGCTTCCCAGCATGCATTGGGACCCCACAGCTTGTACCAGACTGCCTTATTTAGGTAACCGAGTTCTTTCCAAATTTTGGAGGTTACGAGAAATCTGCTGTTCTCAAGAGAGCAAAGTGTGAACTTAGATCTCCTAATATTTCTAGGCATTTCTAATTTTTGTTTTGAACTCTGCCTTCTTTAGCTACTTAATAACAGGATCCTAATGCTACCCTAATCTCACAGGTTAGCCTAAGGATTGGCTTCATTTGTTCTAAAAGAAATTGAAGAGCACTTTTAACTACTGCTTGAGGTCTTACCTTATTTCCTAACAGATCTTGTGAGAGAGCGTGTAACATTTTCTGGAATGTGCGGTGAAAGAGCTAAGATGTCTTATATATTGTCAGAGAGGAAGAATAAAGTAATAAAATCCTCTCTTAGCCAATGGAACAGATTTTCAAGCATGCTAAAATAAGCCACATGTTTGAAAACGCTGACCTCACAAAACAAAGCTGAATCTCTGCATGTTGCTTTCATGAACTCCTTTTGTAAGAAGCTCTGCTGTCAGGCCTAACAGCTGGTTTAATTTCAACAACGCAATCCTTTCACATTCGAATGCAAAGAATGTTTTCCAGTTGTATATGAAAAAGCTGAAAGAGAACTTGCATTGCTTAGCACTCTCCACAGACTAGAGGAGGTATCTGAATGCTCATTTAAAACCACTTTTTATCCTTTCCCCCTCAGATTATAAAAAAGAAAACCTAACAAGTAAGTAATTTCGTTTGTGCCCTTGAACCCGATGTGTATGTAACTGGATTCGTGCATGTGTATTTACACTCACATTTCCTGATCTCAGGAACAGAATTTTCGACCATTTGCAAAGAAGTATTTTTACTGTTCTCACCCTGGGTAGAACATGAGTGAAGATCACTGGAGAGCTCAGCTAATCGTTTCTAAGTAGCCCACAGAGATCACCATATTTGGGAATGATATAAATAATACCTCCTACCTCGAGGTGATTAACTTGCTTTATCTTTTCTACGGCTGGAATGTAAGCCAAATCTATCACCTTTTGACTTTGTATTCATGATTTTTGTATCATCTCATTATTTAGAGCTGAAAGCAAATATTTATTTCTCCATTGATCCAGTTCACGACCTTTGTTTGTGACAACAGAGTCTTCTTTTGGAAAAAGAGGTGTTTTTTGAGACAGCTAATCTCCACTATAAAGTCCACAGGGTCAAATCAATTGGTTTTAACTAGAGGTCTTCTCAAAATCTGTAGGAAAGAATTGAAGAAGTTTGCTTGACAAGAGATGTCCTACAACTAACTAGTATCGGATGGTGCTTTAACCCAGCAGAATGCAGAAATTGTCAAAATGAAATTAGAAAAGGTTATCATGCCAACTTCCTCTAATTTGAGTGTTTCAAGGCTTAACTCAGCTGCATTTCCTGTGATACATATTCCAGGGCTAATCGCCTCTGCACTTGAAGTGCCAGGATTTGTTCCCACTTACTTAAGAGGCTAAGTAGTCAAAGACGACTTGCTACTGCTACCTACGGAATTGCTCAGAGTTAGCGAACCAGCAGTTATGGAAAACCCTAAAAATTGGTTATTCTGGAAATCTGTCAAATAGTTATTCCTAAATTGAAGGAATAAAAAAGAAATGTTTCGGTTGTTTGCCATATAAGCCATCCAAGTTTACCAGGGCTAGACTTGTAATTGATGACTGTGGTCTTTTTTTCACACTTCTATGCATTGCTCATTCATTGTCAAGCATTCAGTGAGGTTTACTGTGTGGAAGGTGCTGAACTTTAAGTCCTAGTTTAGCCAGGAATAACACACACACACAATAGCCATATCCCTGCCTTTTACATTCACTACAATGAGCAGCATAAATTAGCTACAAAAATGAACTTCCTATCCTAAAAAATAGTTTTATGAAATCTTTGGTACATGTAAGCAAATGAATTCCAAATGTCATTTCATCATTTCATCTGATCATCTAGAGGGGAATGTCTCAAAGTGTGATTCAAAACCACCGGCTTAGCCATTGGTGCTCAGGGCACACCTACTGATTCCACACTTGAACTAAGAAATCCCACATGGGTAACCCCTGGTCATCTCTGCTTTCACCAGTATCCTATTTCAAATGAATTTAGGCATCTAGTGCAATGAAAGTTTTCTCTTGATCTTGTGATGTGTTTATTATTTATGTATTTTAAATCATTTTTCTCTTGCTACATGGTAGTCGATTGCTAATATTTTCATTTAAGATCCTTTTTATCTATGTTCTATAATTTACATATGCACTTTTGTGCTAACACTGTCAGGTTATGATATTAGTATTATAATAACTTTCTTAAATAATTTGAAAGATTTTTCTCTTATTGGAACATATTATAAAATAGGAACATTATATCTCCTGAAAGATTATATCCATAATTCGATAATGACTTTCATATTTCCCAGGTATGACAATATTCAAATTTTCTAATTCTTCAAGTTTGGTGCTTAATGTGTCATTTTCCTTAAGATGTAACTGCATAAAATTTTCATTTTCATTGAATTTTGAATCTACTGTCATAACTCTTATCATACCTAATTTTGTATGTCTGTGATTTTCTTATCTTTTTTAAAATTAAAATTCCACTGAATAGACTACTATATATATTAATAAGATCTATTTTTTAAATTCTGTCATTTGTGATACGTGTATTCTAACTTATTGATTTCTGCTTGTATTTGGCTGTTGTTTTATCACTTACCATTCTTTCTTTTCTGTAGTTTTTGTCTCTTTTCCAATGCCATGGGTAAAATATTTAGTTCATTCACTTTAATTCTTTTTATCTAAGGGAAAGAGACAATGCTATGAGTTCATCATTCAGCACAGCTTTGTCCAAATTGAATACACACTATTAGGAATTCATTTTCTAAACTGCAAGTATTGCTACTTTTTACTTTTTGAAAAGTTACTGAATTTTTTTGGTTTTAGATGACCTATTGGATTTCATTTAATCTCTTGTTAATCATATTGTGATCAAAGAATAGATCTGCCTAGACTTTGCTTTCTATTGAGATTTGCCTTTCTGACCTGAGAAAAGATTGTCAGTATTCACCACAAATATTTGAAAGCAAGGTTTATTTTCTCTTATTAGGGTACAATTTTTCATTCTTAGCTACTAAAGCATTCTTGTTAATACATTGTTAAAAAAAATACTCTGTCCATGTTTTTGTCTTTAACCTACCTATTAAAAGGACTTAAAATATAATTAAAAGTTTGTATAATAAATATACAATGGACTTTGTTACCAACAAACAGTTATATGAGTATCATGTTTTGTTCTCCTGTAGTTGTGCAGATTTTACCTTGTTTTTATATTGCATTGACCTTTTTAGTAGGAATTCAACTTTGGATGGACTAACTTCTACTCATTTGTGTCCTAATATTTCCATTTTTCATCTTCCATTGTTTTTATTCTGTTTGTAAATTAATAGTAAGTGTGTACAAAAGCTCAGTTTTGGACAATCCTGACCTCAAGTGTCATTTCAAGAAATTATTTTATTTAATTACTTAATAATAATTTGTATGATTGGTGTCAGGTCATAAACCATATGATGCAATGGGAAAAGCATTCATCCAGGATCCAAATTTGTCTTGGAAAAATTGTTTCTTTTCTCTGAGTCTTACCTTTGAAATTACATGATCCTATAAAATAGATTTATTTACAACTGGATCACAGTAGATGCCAAAAGTTGGACTTTATAGTATCTAACCAGGGAGAATCTGACACATAAGCACATTTTTAAAATTCAGTTTGCTGCTTATTTAAATACATAAATTCATTCTGAAATGTTTAAGAGCGAATGAAAAGAATTCTTGTTTACTTACAGCATTCCCACCAATGACATCCTCAAAGCCAAGCGTGGACATTCCAAATTTACCTTCTTCCTCCTCCTCCTCCTTCTCTGTCTCACCTACATACTCCATGACTGTAATAATCTCCATCATGTCCAGCTTTGCAATATTTGTGCTTCTGACCATAACTACTCTTTATTGCTGCCGAAGAAGAAAACAATGGAAAAATAAAAAAAGGTGAGATTCTAGTTTTGCTATCATATTTGAATATGTGCTAATTAATATTGGAATTGGGGGTGGAAGGAATATATAAATATATTTTAGTGCAAGCACAACCAAGATGGGCAGATTTGCTGTATATTCAGGGAGATGGATCAAGAGAGTCAGGAGACTTTGGTGGATGTTACAGGCCTTTTAATGCTCGAATGGGAAAACAGGTAGGAAGGCTGGCATGCAAGGAGGCAGGTGTCAGGGTGGAGTTAGACAGGGCATGAGGAAGGCAGCGGGGCCGGGAGGCATGGGAGGCAACCCAGTCCCCAGCACCCCCGCAAATCTTTGTACTCTTTCTCTAGCCTCTCTCTGGGATTCTCTCTCTCAGTGTTAGTCTCAGTCTGTGTCTCGTGGGCTTGCCTCAGAGTATTTATTCCTCCTGCTGTGCAGCCACTGCTACTTTACCCTGCTCCTCCAGGTGTGAGAGCATTTACACATGCGCACACTGTGCTCTTTGTCCATAATAACAGGTGCGGGAGTCCCTTGCCCACGCCTCTTGGCCAGGGTGCAAAAAAGTTTGATTCACTTCATTTACCCTACAGTATATATGCCCATCTCACTGCCTTTAAAATTAAACACCCCATTATCTTCAAAAAATATAGCAATGATTTTTTTTTTTTGCATGAGTTCATGTGTCCCAAGGTTGATTTTTCATTGCAGATAGAATCTAAACAGTAATCTAGAAGAATGAGTATCTGTGCCTTCACCTTCTTTCTTAGCCCCATCACCACTATGAGATTGGAGATGATAAAATTCCTGAAAAAATGTGCCTTTTGACTCCAGACCAAACAAAATACTTTCTTGCTCTAAAACTAAGGATATATGTCTGCTTTAGTATAATTGTCATGTTTCCTCCTAAATGCCATGTCTCTTTAGAACTTTAGTGGACACACAAAGATCTCACCTGATCCTGAGCTCATTATTGGTCTTATCTGTCTTACCTGCAGAGAATCGGCAGCATTAACCCTCACTACCCTCCCTTCTGAGCTCTTGCTAGACAGACTTCATCCCAACCCCATGTACCAGAGGATGCCACTTCTGCTGAACCCCAAATTGCTCAGCCTGGAGTATCCAAGGAATAACATCGAATATGTGAGAGATATCGGAGAGGGAGCATTTGGCAGAGTCTTTCAAGCCAGGTAGAGTTACCCATGTAAAAAAATATCTCCACTGAAATGTTTGTCTCAAAAGTTGCCAGGCCATTTCCATAATATTTACACAATATGTATTAAGATTATCAAATTAATTTGTCATGTCATTAACCTCATTTGTATTGAGCACTAGCCCTAAAATCCTAATAATTTCCCTCTTCTGCTGGAAAATAGAGTTGTGCGTAGAGAAAGAATATATAGTTTTACATTTAAAAGAAAGAGCTTATAGGAAATATAAGTATATCTTCATTTATACAGTGTTCAAATTACAAGCAGTTAGCAATAGCTAAATCCTATTGCCTTTTCAGAAAAGAATATTGTCCCACAGTTTCAGTTATCATTTCTTACATTGCTTTTAGAAAATAATTCTGATGTTCTGTTCTCCACTTCATTTAGTTTACTTTGAAGTAGTGTTTCCATGTAAGACCTCACAGCCTGACATATAGATATTAAGCAGATGTTCATGGAATGACAGAACAGAAAAAGGGAAAATATAATTTTAAATGTTGGAAAACAATGGCTTTAAGAAAAGAGTCCATATTAAGGCCATGACCAGGCCATTTAGTGTCTTTGTGTGAATTGCAATCAAATGCTATCTCTGGATGCAGCCCCACAGAGAGGCAGCTGGGCAAGAGAATGTGGACTTGGTTTGAATCACCAATAGTCACTTTGGCCTGGAGCTCCTGGGCAGGAGGCCACCATATCTCACCTCATAGTAGGACTGGTATGGAGATTACATGCCTAAGGAAAACCAAGTACTTATACTGGGAATCAGAAATATGTAAGATACCAGTTTAGCTCTTTGGGGCTATAAAGATGAATTAATCATGGTCCCTGCCTTCAAAGAGTTCAGAGTCTGGCCAGAGATTAAATAAGGGCTTAGGATGGTAATGATCTGTACCCTTTAGAATTCCTGTAATTTATAAATAACTCTAGTGATTCTTATTAATGAGAGTCAAGAATTTTAAATGCAATTTGCGGTTGGCATCTTTATGATTCTGTGGTTCTGGGAAAGGTTGCATTAAGTGGGGTGATGTGTGTGAATGTGAGTAGGTATAACGTGAATATATATAATGTTCCTTACTTTTACTTTCTTTCTAAATAAATTGATCTCTTAGGGCTCCGGGTTTACTTCCCTATGAACCTTTCACTATGGTGGCGGTGAAGATGCTCAAAGAAGAGGCCTCAGCAGACATGCAAGCTGACTTTCAGAGGGAGGCAGCCCTCATGGCAGAATTTGATAACCCTAATATTGTGAAACTCTTAGGTAGGAAAATACAAGTGAAGAAATGTATTGAATCAGAAAACAGAGGCATTTTGCATTTTTCCTCCTTAATACTTCACTCATGCTTTTACCTTCACCCCTTGATCAGATATATATATATAGACATATATGTTACATAATTTTGTGTTATCAAGAAATGGAACATTACATTATAGAATCTCCATTCAAGAAATTTCAATTGTCAGAAAATGTACTGTCATTTCTTTAATTTTCTCTCCAGTACAGGCAAGTATACTGAATGTTAAAGTCCTTGGAATTAAAAACTAACCCTAAAATAAATAAGCCAATCTATGAAAATTCTTTATTGCTCTCCCTGTTTGAACAGACTTCTAATTTTTACCTAAACAAAGAAGCTCTAATAAGCTATTTTCACAGTGATGTGAACTTGTGCCCATTTGATCTATTATTTCAAGTTGTATAATTTCCATCTCAAATACAGCAAGATTTTAAGATTATCTAATGTCCTGTTGGCACTAAATCTGAGACTATATTAATTTTTTTCATTCTTTCTAGAACGACCACTATAAAATCTAAATTTCAAAATGTTTTCCTGCAGCAACCTGAATACTTAATCTAAGCTCTTGGATTGTTTTTGTTATCCTCTCTAAATTTCATACTCCTTTCTTATTATCCTTCTTCAGAGAAGCAAGCAGAAACACGGAGCAATTACCTTATATACTCAAAACCAGCATCCACTCACAAATCCATTCACCCTGTTTTGAGCACTTGCTGTGCCAGACAAGTGGGAGGTATGCAGAATTTAACAAAAATAAGGTGTGACCTCTGCTTTCAAAGTGCTAAATTGTTGGGAGGAAAATTTCTCATCAGTGGATGATTAGAACATACCGTGGTAGGTACTTGGCGATAGGCTGGTAGAAGGAAAATCTAACTGATAACAGGTGAGTCTGTCAGTAGCTGAGGCTCTTTAAGGGAAACCATAAAAAAGCTGCACCTTACAAGGTAAATAAGAGATGTTTACACAGAGAAATGGGGTCAGGTTTGACTATGACGCTGTCAGCAAAAATTAGGGTCTCACATTTTCTGCTCGGGTCCCTACCTTTGGGAGTACTATTTGCAGCGTGTCCTTTAGAAAGCCAACCTCACAAGGGATGTTACTTTGTTTCCAGGCGTGTGTGCCGTCGGAAAACCCATGTGCCTGCTCTTTGAATACATGGCCTATGGCGACCTCAATGAGTTCCTCCGCAGCATGTCCCCTCACACCCGGTGCAGCCTCAGCCACAGCGACCTGACTATGCGGGCCCCGCTGTCCAGCCCTGGCCCCCCGCCCCTCTCCTGTGCCGAGCAGCTCTGCATTGCCAGGCAGGTGGCAGCCGGCATGGCCTACCTCTCAGAGCGCAAGTTTGTCCACCGGGATTTAGCCACCAGAAACTGCCTGGTGGGTGAGAACATGGTGGTGAAAATTGCCGACTTTGGCCTCTCCAGAAACATCTACTCGGCGGACTATTACAAAGCTAATGAAAACGATGCTATCCCTATCCGTTGGATGCCCCCGGAGTCCATTTTCTACAACCGCTACACCACGGAGTCCGACGTGTGGGCCTACGGCGTGGTGCTGTGGGAAATCTTCTCCTACGGCCTGCAGCCCTACTACGGGATGGCCCACGAGGAGGTCATCTACTACGTGCGAGATGGCAACATCCTCTCCTGCCCTGAGAACTGCCCCCTGGAACTGTACAATCTAATGCGCCTGTGTTGGAGCAAGCTGCCCACAGACAGACCCAGTTTCGCCAGCATTCACCGAATTCTGGAACGCATGTGTGAACGGGCCGAGGGAACTGTGAGTGTCTGAGCCCGAGAAGGTGATAAGATGGGCTCTCCCCCAGACTCTGTAGCCAGGGGCACCTAACAAGACGCAGCTAGGAAAGAAGAATAGCAGACCGGGAGAACTGCGTTGTTGCTAAGGAAAACTAAAGCACATTGCTCTCGGGGTAGCCCGACCTACTGAAAGTCAGTGATTCCAAACGCAAGCTGGGAAATGTGTCAAATTGCAGGAGATTATCATTCTTCTTCCCGGGGAACGTCTGTATCGCATATTGTAGAAGAAAGGATGTCATCTTGGTCATTTCCTGCATTAGCTGGCAGGAGAGTAAGACTCTGCTGTATTAAATTTTAATATGAAATGTAGCAGTTCAGAGCTTCCTTTTTAATAGAGTTCATTCTTGTTCATTGTGAAAGTATATCTTCCTGTAGGAAATTTAGGTAAAGTACAGAAAATTAAAAAGAAGGAAAAACCATTCATTGTCTCCGCAGCCAAAGATGGGTGTTGATTGGTTTTTAATGGAATTTCTTTCTTACCTTTAGGCATAATTTTATATTTGTTTGTATGCTACAGAGTTGTGGTTATACTTTATTGATAGGGGGCTTAAGGAATGAAATGACAGATCAACAGGGTATATTCTTATTCTGATTTGTAGTTTCCTTTTCTGTCTTTGTCCATCTTCTCAAAAGTTTTCCTTTTTTGTGCACTTGT